AACTAGCTCAAACATGAGGGAAAATGGAAATGGACTCAGGAAAGGGGAACAACTTGTATTAGAAAAAGGAAGCCAATTCTTACTGACCATTGCTACTCACTATCATCGGGAGGATACCTTCTCACCTTTGTTATATGTCTATTCAGCGAAGTAATTCTCATGAGATGTTATATTAACAGTTTCATACCCAGAATACGACAATTCTTGGGGCTAAGTGGGTTGAGGGGGGGGGGCACGCGGCGGCGCGGTGCCTTTTCATGTCTGCGCCCTCTAAAGCGAGATAGTAGACAAGGAAGGGTAAGCGAGCCCGTAATGGTGTTTAGGAACGTTTCATAGCTTTTTTATGTTATAACTGCGTAGTTTTCACCTAATTTCAGAAAGAGGTGGGGGGGCTTCGGGGTAGGTGAGCCAAATAGACGTTCAACTTTTATCTCATCTCAGCTTTTTGCACGAGATAACCATACCACCCACCCCGGAGCCCCTCCCCTTCTTAAGAAAAAAAAAAGGTTTTATTGGCTCAGAAGAAGACTATCCATAATATGTAAGCATATCAACATGCGCCAAGAGTTAGTTTAATGGGGAACCTCACCATTCCTTCCCAGACTCAAGCCCACTACTATCTCGCTGGAGAGAGCGCAGGGTGCCGCGTCGCATGCCGCGCCGCGTGGCCCCCCCCAACCCGCTTAGCACCCAATTCTTGGCATAGATCTTACTATTCATTATCCTATTTTTATCCTGTTTCCGTTTCTGAATCCTTACCATCATCCTTCCCATGAAAACCCATGACAGTTTACTTTCTGTTGACGTGAAAAGCCTTCATCAGTATCGCGACAATTTTTCTATACAAATCGCAACGCACCTTATTTACTCCTTAACTCTATTGGTTCCCGGAGGATGGCTAGAAAGATGTCTGTACTCCTACATAGCATTCACACTGCATGTTTACAGCATACACACTCACATATTTGCAGTGTATTATTCTGTTCCGGGATCGGAACTATTATTATGAAGTCATGAATTGCACCAGGAAGGATAGGTTACGTGACTACTTGAACTTTCTCTACGTCCCTGACGGCAAAAAGCTAGAGCGCAGAGAAAAACACCCGGGTGAAGTCTACGGCGGTGGTGGTGGGGGTCCCATTGGACAGGCGAGCACAACACTCAAAGAACACATCAAACGGGAGTGCGCCAGACGAGGGCAGAAAAATGACGCATCCGGCAAATTTAAAGGAACCGAGTTCAAGTAGTCGTAGGCCGGAAGGATAGCATTGACTGAGTCGATGGGATGGTCCCGCAACGAATTGCCTGATTGAAAGGCTATACATAGTTGTCGCAATAGTTGGATAGATCTAAACTCGTCTGCCAATTTTTTCCCGGGTAGGTCTAGCTGCGAATTCGACATAGACAACGAAGTGTGTATCGTACGGTTATCCTCACTATAGTTTACCAGAGAGCGTTTAAAAGATAGCTGAAATGCTTCAAAAGGATCTTTCAATAACTATGGGTACTGTGTCGGTGAGAGGGCGTAGACGACCAGATAACATTTCCGCCATGCGAGTAACCTTCTACCCTAGGAACGGTCTTGTGCAAATCTCATATATGTAGTATCGAGTCTATGTGCATGAGTTGAGAACCCTATGCATTTTGCTTGTTTACTGAGTACTTCTATGTCATGCGTTTACTGCATTCCTTTATTAGAAGCGGGTGCTAAGTGAGTTGGGAGGGGCCACGCGGCAGCGCGGCGCCTTTTCATGTCTGCGCCCTCTCCAGCGAGATAGTAGTACTGGACCTGAGTCTGGGGAGGGATGGTGAGATTGTACTGAAGTGTTTCGTGATTCAAAACAAATTACATCTTGGCACATGATATATGCTCGCATATTATGGATAGTCCGACAAAACCCTATTTTTGGGAAGGGTGGGTGAGATGGTTATCTCGTGCAAAAAGCTGAGATGAGATAAAAGCTGAACGTCTAATTGGCTCACCCACCCCGGAGCCCCTCCCCTTCCTAAAATTAGGTGAAAAATACACAGTTATAACATAAAAGAGCTATGAAACGCCCCTAAACACCATTACGGGCTCGACTTCTCTTGCTTATCCACTATCTCGCACTGTCGCCTAAACTTACACCCTGAAGAGACGCCGGGCGAGTTGTCGCGAGACATTTGTCAAGTTTCCAGACATCTGTCAAGTATATGGCTTGTGAATCAAGCAATTCGTTGCGGGACCCACGCTATCGACTCTGCTTTCGTTTCATTTTGGTGCTACTTATGAATTTGTTGGAAGAGATAATGATAGGTGTCCGCACCCATGAAAGATCCAAAATTAAGGGAAGAGATGACGATATACGTTGTTTGAAAGGTAAGCTGTCGTTTTGCCAACGAATATTAGCTTTTTCACCGAGTAGAAATCTCCTCTGAATGACTGGCACCTGACAACATGAAGAAGTAGGGAGAAGCAAGATCTGCATACTTACTGCTTCCTTCTCAAAGATTATCCTAATACGGAGCAAATGGCGTGGCTTTAGGATCAGCATAGTGTAATTGAAGTTAATGTAGTAGTCCTAGGTCACCACCAAAAGACGAAAGGCAGGAGCACACCGCTTTGCCTCACAAGACATTGTACTGGATCAAATTGGCCTTCAAATACACTGCTGTCATGAATGAATATTCATCACCTGGTACGTTTCTACCCGATGTACTGCGCTCCACTTCCCTTTTCAGCCTAATAACTATACGAGGCTTTTAGAAAATAGCATCAAATTGCATTGAGAGAAGGACTTCAAAAAAAGAGTGCCATTTCGCTTCAAAACGCATTTAAATGAAGTTATATAATTAGACCAAAAGGAATCATGCACGTTATTCCCATTATTTAAAAAGAGACCTTTTCAAATGAGTGAGATATAATTGATATTCTGTATTTTAGTTTCTTTTTCCTGATGAGCCTTTTCCCGTGACGCAGTCTTGGTTCTGAACATCACTCTATTTCAATCAAACATCATGGTGGCATACTCTTACCGGATGGGTTATTAATGTTAATGTAATGTAATCGAAATCATTTTATCATGGCTCTCTACACAGTGAACCGTTGAGAAACCGTTTCACGTTTCAGGTTATATGACATATCGGAAGGAGGAGGCACAAAATTTCACGAAAAAAGTTCCGCCCTACAGGAAGTGCATCCCTGTTGTCCAAAGAAACGAGCAGCCGAGTGAAGTTTGTACTGAAATGGAAATACTTGCCGTTCCGGATCCCCGTTTCTATATCCATCGGGAAAGACTTCGTAAAGCTTTCCTCTTCCCATGGTTCGCCCTTATTTTCAAAATTTTCCCCCCAAGATGTCATATAACTTCTTTCAAACAACGTAGTATGCCACCTTTTCCTTTACATTCGGATTTTTCATGTGTGCGCACACTCTTACCACAACTTCTTCCAATAGCAATTCAAACGGAACATCAAAGTGAAGCTACAGAGGCACGATGGGGTGGGTCCCGCAACGAACTAGATTCGAGCAATGGGCAACTTGCCAAAAAAAAAAAANCCCCCCCCCCAACTCACTTAGCACCTAGAAGCGTTAATTGAATACGATAGACAGGTGAAAATGTAGTTGTAGAGTGCCATCGATCACTCGTGCTCTGCGTCTGTGGTGCATAGTGAACGCGCGGAAGTGGTTTACTTCCTTTCTAAAGGTTAGGGGAGGAGCTACGGGGTGGGAGAGATGATTGTCCTGTGTAAAAATCTGGGCTGGGATAAGAATTGAATATCCAATAGGCTCACCCACCCCGGCGCACCTCCTCTAACTTTGAGAAGAGGAAGAAACCATCGGAAGACGGGCAGTAGGAACGGTTTTGTGTAATCAATTCACCGCACGCGGCTGCCGCGAAATATTCCTTTGTGTCATTACAGCTCTGGCGTTCTTCATACAACTCAATCGATATACGATCCTTATTTTAGGCATGATCCTAGTGTTAGTTCCTTTTTTCCTGTATTTCTTATTTATTACTATTACTATTACTATTATTCTTACTATTCTTATGTATTATTTATTTCTGCTGCTACATCCTGCTATGTTCCTTCGCGCGCGGCGTCCCTCTTGCCGCGACGCGACAATTTCGTTCATACTGCACCACACCTGAAACCATCTCTACACTCTAGCGCAGTCTCTATGCACTCTGCCGCCTAGTGTCAGAGACGCAGAGCACAGACGGGCACTGGCACCCCCCCCCCTCAACTACATTTTCACCGATAAACATGATTGAAGGGCGTTTTGAGAGTACTGCCACACTATAAATCAGTAGAATGGCCTATACATGGTGTTTAATCAATTTTAACATCTGCGATTTCTTCAATGTCTTTCTCTCCTTCATCGCATTTTGTATCCTCCGCATTTTCCTGGGTGCCTTGTGACGGTGTTTGTGATCCTGAACATCAAGGTATTCCTTCTGAATGAGGAATCGTGACAGTAGTGTGGTTTACACTACACGTAGCATTATGTAGTCTGCTGGCGTTATTTATTTACGTTCCGTACCATTTTATTTATTTATTTATTTGACAGATAATCGCTTCATAAATCTGGGAACGAATGTTTTTGGTACGTACGATACTGTTGTTTCTGTACGCTCTCATTAAACACTCTTTTGTTTGGTTGCTTGTACTGTACTGATTCCATACGTGAACCGTTCTATTGATGCATTTTTTCGATAGCACCAAAGAGTACTTCTTCTTCCATAACATATCTTTAAAAAGGCAGTTGGTCTGCAGTTTGAATCAATGCGTCGATTCACGTGGATTTCCGTCTAAACGAGTAAGCTGAGCACTGAACCCCAAGTTGTACTGCTAGCACCGAGGAAATATCATTGCTGTTGACGGGCTGTCTCAGTCGCTTGTGCTGCTTCTTCCCTTTCACTTATTGTCTAAGCGCTTTTTCATATGTAATCATTTTCAGAAGGAATATACTGCCTTGTACAGCCAGGTGACTCACTAAAGAGACAATTTTTGCGACCATGAATGTAAACGACAACATGAGCGGAGGTGATGCGAGGTAGGACTATCTTGAACTTCGCTGGTTTCCATGCTAATATTGTAGTTGTTTTCTAGAAATGGTATGGCACGTCTTGGCACTATTCCAAACACCCTCTTCACTCGTCCGCCTAATAACTTTAATAAAACTGGTTAGTGCTATCTTGTTTGTTCAAACTGCCAAATAAATAATAGGAGACGACTGTAACATAAAGCCATGAGTGGGCACCTCCATAAAAGCTGGTGTTGTGTATAATCGTGCAAGTACGCGGTTTTGGCCATCCAACACCGTCCAATTGTTCCAGACCGGCCACAGCTGCTCGAACCAAGTATCCTAAGCGTTTCATTTCTACTGGTATTGGCGGTGTTGCATTGATTTCGGCTATGGAATACTTATCATTTAAGTACTCTTTTCAGTATAATGGTATGGTGTCGAATCCTCCATTCACTAACAGATATACCCCTCTCACAGATGTCTGTTCATAGGAAGAGACTATAAAAAAGGTACATGCGATGAACGAACATGATTATGCTTCCATAGTGTATTGAGAGTGAAGGACGTTATATCGAGACGAGGAAGGTTTGTAAATCTTGGCCACCTCGGCACGACCATAGACGTCGGAAAGCTGGCTATGCAAAGTAGTCACCCGACTGGCACGAAAAAACTTATTCTAAACGGGGGACGCACGATTCGTGCGATTCTGGGTGCGCGCGGCAAACTGCACGGCGAAATTCGTGATGATTCGAACGAGTCTGACGCCTACTATTGGAGCACAAACTTGAAGTAGAGTGGATTAGTAGGATCAGCTAACCATACCCAACTATTCTACTTCAAGTTTTCGCCCCCATAATAGGCGTCAGAGTCGCTCGAATCATCACCAATTCCGCCCCGCAATTTGCCGCGCGCACGCAGAATCGCACGAATCGGCACACACCCATTCTAAAGAGGTGCAAATTTTCTTGTTTGTTCTACAAGTTAAAATGCCTTAAATCTAAATTGACGAGGATATACGTCTTACAGCGTTACAAATTTTATATTGACATTGTGGAGATCTTGGGGTCACTCCTTTGTGTATTGGGAAACACTGACCATGTTCGCGGTGAGATTTATTACAGGCACAGTTCACGATAAAAATGGTTTCTGAGATTTCATCATAGGATGAATTCGAGGCTCACTCATAAACACATCTGACACTATCAGGTTGGAAAAAAGGTTAGGTTGTAAGGAAAGTTCTGGCCGTTCGTCACGTCAGTTGATCACGATGTTTTGCAAGGAGTAATCGAAGAAGATCAACGTCAACCTTTGAGAGAGATTGCTAAGAAGAGGGGTGTCTCCTGCACAGTCGTCACTATTCACCTCAAGCAGCTTGGAATGGTGAAGAAGCTTGACAAACGAGGTAACACAAACTCACGTAGCAGCAACAATTGAAGCGCTTAGAGGCTTCAAGTTCACTGTTGAGAAAGAAATGATGTTGAGCCTTTTCCAAATCGTATTGTAACCTGTGATGAGAAATGGATTCTGTATGATACCATCAAGCGTTCTGCTCCGTAGGTAGGTGTGGATGAGCTTCCCAAAACCTTTCCCAAACCAAGTTTACACGTCAAGAAGATCATGGTCACAGTTTGGCTGTCTAGCCATGGATTAATCCACTACTTTTTTCTTTGTCCGATCAAACCATTACCGAATAGTCTTACTGTGAACAAATTCAGCAGATGTACACGAAACTGGGACAAATGCAGCCAGCACTAGTCAGTTGCCACGGTCCACTTCTGCACGACATTGCGCGATCTCATATGTAACAAATTGTCTTCCAGAAGCTGAGCGAGCTGTAAATCGATGTTCTTCCTCATTTATCCTGCTCACTAGACCTGTCACCAACTGGCTACCATTTATTCAAACATCTGGACAACTTCTTAAAGGATCGACTACTCAAAAATCAAGGCGACGTGGAGGCTACCTTTCTCGGGTTCTTTTGCGCACTCCAATCTTCCATCGCATTTCTGCGATACGCGGCATTTGCGGCGAGCTCGACGCAGTGTTTGGGGAAAAGATACGGGAGCCGTAGTTCACCAGCCCCGTTGCTCCTTTCCTCCGAAAACTCAGGTCAAAAAACTGTATGATTCGTTCCCGAACACAAACATGGGCTGACCAACTGATCTCTCGCGCTGAATGTTGATAAAAGCGGAAGTCTTTCAACTACGTTATTACCTCCGGTTTTTGTATAGACATATGTAAATAGCATGCTAAACATAGCTAATGCAGATCGAAATCACAGTTCTGAAGAACCCACCTAACTACACATTACTCACTCTGCTCCGCAGTACTCGCTCCGCATCATCAACCTACCCACCAATTTACTGCTCTATATATGAAGGAAATGTGAGAGGTGGATTTTTCACATCACTACCTTAATCGTAATCTAAAGTTTTGCGGAAGGGCAGACCGACAAACCTACATACCAGCATACCGAAGTACCGACAAACCGACGCACTGAGTTACTGCTTTATAAATAAGAGGGATAGATACTTGTGTGTCGGTATGGCGTCAACATCTGAATTACATGAGCTTTCATGAAAACGTCATCGCATTCTCTCATCTCCCTCCTTTCCACTTGTTCACTTAACACCACAACAGCACATTTGATCTCATCGTCTCCGAGCGCAGTCTACCGTCTTTGTGTGCTGTACAGAATACGTACAGCGTATCATAAAATCATGTGTTCCAAAACTCATAAGGTGGAAGCATTTCACGAAATTCACTCCATCTGCTATTAGCTGGTTGCTCAAGTAGGTTTTCTTGCAATATGTATGGTTACTGGAGTGATACTCCCAATATCTCTCGCCTAGCGGAAGCTAGGCTGCAAGATGCCACTTGCGATTGTTGGCATGCCAGAAGCGAAAAGGTTTTCTGTGATTCCATATGATTCCTATGATATCTACTCTATCTTCTACTAAAATGGTCTTTTGTGAGTCGATCGTGATAGTGGATTAGCTGTAAACGCAGCGAACGATAATGGCAACAGATGTTGACCAATCTCGATTTGTCTACTCGATATGGAGCTACCTCTCTATACTTATCTTTTCGAGAGGAAAAGGGAAGGAGTTGTGATAGGTCTGTATGTGTAACGGTGTATATGTCGGTGTATCTTCGACTGAAAACTCGTAACACTTTTTCCCGTGGACCTTGAGCGTTTAAATTCGGTAAGAGTACAGGCGGTAGAACGGAAACACTGATGGCAGGTGGCAATGCTAAACCCTTTCTAAAGGGGAAATTGTCAAATTGGACCTTGGCCATACAAATTGGATAGGTGTACAGGCGACAGTACATGCAGGTGATACGACTGAAGATTGAAGAACAGGGGACTGGACAAACTTATTTAAACATACATGAGTTGAGCGAAATTCCGTTCATGATGGCAAGGTGCTCACGAGGTATGGTTGTTCGTTTGGAAATTTATAATTCTACTTCTACTGCACCGGAAGGTCCAAATTTGGGAGCGGCTTTGGCGGCAGACCAACTATATACGGAAAGGAGGAGAGCCGGCGTTAGCCGGACAATCCGATGATCTCAAAAACTACATGGAAAGGTCGGGTCAAGTTTGGAATTGGTAGGGCTTAGGACAAGATCAACAGGGTCACATTTGAGCCAGCGAACCTCCGCCTTCGCGCAAGTACCAGTGGAGGCGGTAGCAAAAGCAAAATATTCTACTTTGATTTCAGAACAGCTCAGAGAAACAGAATGTGGGCAAAGGTGAGGAATCGGTCACGGACTTAATATAAGAGATTCACCTGTGGTGGGGCAGCAAGTGGGCGGACCCCACTACATGAAATCACAACTCGATTCCGTCGAAACTTAGAACTCGTGGACTAAAAAATTGTAGAAATGATCAAGATCCAAGGTGGGTTTTGAGCGAGTATGTGCACAGGATAGGTGGGGCCCAGTTTTAAATGGAATGTGCTTTTCAGGAAAGACCATAGCTTCACTACAGACATTTGATCAGAGGATATTGAAGGAAGTGTGGTCATATCTTCATAGTGAGCGCGGCGTACGTAGAAATTGGGGTAGCTTAGTTTAAAGTTTTTTGAAGTTTTTTTACTGGGTCCTGAAAGTGGTCAGGAGCTGTCGAAGGACGTGTGGCAAATACTCGTTGTGGGTGGGACTTGTACCGAGATGTGCGAAGGCGGGGTCGCAAATTCATAGATCGCTTTTTTGTTATCATGTACGCGTTAGACTATCATTGTCCTCTCTTTCACGAGAAAAAAACCATTCTAAGTTCTGCTTGTCAGTAACGAACAATAATTTCTGTCACCTTTCCGATTTAAACTTTTACTGAATCGAGGAGACCAAGCCTGCGAATAAGTGATGCACAAACCTCTGACGATCAGTGGTAGGGCTAACGGAAAATAGTATATGTAGCTCAAAGGTTAATTCATTGAACAATCTCACAGTGACCGTTTTTCCTATTTGTTCGAAAACAGATACAAGCTTTCGAATTCTCGAAATAACGAGCTCTCTCCATTGGAACCTTGAAAATTTTCGAAGTTTTGGACGTATGTCCTGTGTTTTAGCTGTTCGAGGAGGGAGTTAGAAGGGGGAAGCCTCATTCGTTACAAGCGTCAGTTCGATTGTGCAAATGGAAAATTTTCCCATCTTCACTGATAGTTCACGAAGCGATTTTGGCATTTAACCGATTTTGTAGCATTATACCAAATATGAGGTTGACCTTATCCAGATTAGTTAGCATGATCATGTAACACCTTGCGATAATAAAAAATACCAATTTGCCATTCGCACAAGCCGGTACGTACCATCGCGATCGAGGGGAATATCTTGTGCAACCTCGATTGTTCATGTTTGGCCTCTCATATTTACACCTTTTACACAGGAAGATGGTACTGGCTCGGCTAAACAATTTCTCAGATAATAGTTTTAGTTTTCGCGATGGTATCATCTTCTCGATGGCACATAGCACCTTCGCGAGAACATTGTAAACAGTATAAGTAAAGAGTAATCACGGCATACGGCAATCATTAATGAGGCCAATTCACGGCTACCGATAGCGTCTGCTTCCATTATTCCGGGTAATAAAGTAATTCTTAGAATGGAACGAATGAAACAATCTCTCAAGATAAACATGCAGGTAAGAAAAAATTGTGCGATGAGACTCCTCGAATAAACGTATTATAGAAGTTTTACAGTTTTCACAGACCTTCAACTTGATCCTTACAAACATTGCAGAATCAATTCAATTACAGGGGATTCGGGTAGACCTACTCAATTGGTGGCAAACTTTGTCACGATTGAGCAGTGTCCGGAATTGGTCGTTTGGCAATATCATGTGGATTTCAAGCCGGATATCGACTCGAAAAACTTTCGTCATGCTATTCTCAAACAAAAAAGCATTCAAGATGAGATTGGGAACGCATTCATTTTTGACGGGATGATTCTGTATATTGTGAGTAGCATCAATTATGAGGTGAGCCACTGTCAGAAGATTCATCGCCAAACCCTCTCTTCAAAAATTAGGATCAAATTCTTACTTATTTTGTGTGACAGTTATTCCAACAAGCTTTTTAACACAAATGGACTGTAGTTCACGCATCTTTTCAAGGACAGATGCGATGTTCATTGCAATGTTGCAATCGATAAGTATTCTCCAGCACAATTAATCTACATAATTGAATGTGCAGCTGCAATATCTCCGTTATACAGCACCGTTTTTTGCTGCTTTAATGCCACTTGCACGACTTAGAAGTGAAAATCCAATCAGTACTCTTTCAGGGGTGGGCAAATCTAGCATTCGACCGCTCCTGATTTGTTGAACCGATAAATCGACCAATATCGGTCGATGAAACAAGGGCATTTGTGAGGGCCAGATCAGACATGTGATTGTCTTTCTCTGCTTGTCTTTTTTCACTGATCATGGAAAGGGGTTTTGTTCCTATTGAACTTCAATTGAACACAGGTATATCTTCAGGATTTGCAATGTTTTTTTACAAATAGGGAATTTGAAACATACAAGGGAAAGATACTTGGTCGCAGTGGCCAGTCAAGATGATATGTTTACCGCCGTGGGTGATTTCGAACGCTAATCCCAAATCTGCTCGAAATGTGCTAAACGATTATGGGGACAAATTACGGGACCAATGCCTTTCTGTGTTATACCAGCGTTCCAAACGGCCGAATAAGGGTGGGCTCTTCCCGAGTAGGAACAGTACGCTCTTCAACATGTTGCCAGCGAATCTTCTGACCGAACGTGGAGTCATCATATTTGATAGAGGACTTTCGTTCGTTCATGCAGCATAACATGGGCACCACCTAGGAAGAGGCTGTAATGTAAAGCTTTTTAACCGTACTTCTCGATGTTATGTCGATGCTGTGAAAACGAGCCCGTTATCTTTTGCGAGGAGGCCGATTCCGTAAAAGGAGTGATCCCAAAGATTCCCTGCGGCTGCCTGATAATGACAGCGACGATGGACCCGTAACTGTGCGAACGAAACCGTGTACGTTTGTGGGCATATGGAGGTTCCGAAGTGAAACGAAGCCTTTAACATTGTGATGTGGCCCATGAGCACCAATTTTATGGCGCTGGTAGAAGAGTCCATGGTATTCTATAGCTTGATTGTCTAGAGAAGCTTCAATTCCTTGTCTAGAAAAATACTTTTTGTATCATCACTGCAGAGTGCCGTTTACGGATCGGACTAGTCTATTATCAACAACTTACGATATCTTATGTGGTTGTAGCTATCAGATGCAAAACAAGCGAATCGATCTGCCTACCCATGGAGATTAGCAAATAAGTTGGAAGGATAAGTTATTATTGAATTAATGTGGGAGCCTCATCGCATAACAGTCATTTCCACCGAATACCTCTTCAAATCAACATTGAAGGCCTATAGGGGACAACTTCAAACAAGTCATATTCAGTGTTTTGCGTACAGCCGTGGTATTATGTCCAATCGCACTACCACTTTTACCTCGTGAAAAAGCTTTTTGAAAGGGCGTTTACCTCGAAAATAGAATTACTGGATAATTATATGTGCACACAAGGCGATAAACCGTTGTTCTACAGTATTTCTTCAAAGATGCCAGTTAACTTGTTCCATCACATCGAAAGCGCGGACAGGTTCCTAGAATGTGTGGACCGTATCCCTCCTGAAGAGGGCTCTGATCAGATGAGTCATTCGACCGCCTTCTACCGTAAGTGCAGGGTGCTGCCGAAGATTTCGAACTTCATATTAACTGTCGGGTTAAAGAAGCGGACGTATTCGGTCCTGTGGTTAGAATTTTTATCGGATCACTGTTCCTCAGAATTCTAGATTGTGAGGGAGCTGCGCTTTTGCCGAATATTGAGCCTAAAAACTTGCAAGCGTTTAGACGCATTCATGGGAAAGCGAAACAAGCAGATGATGTGTCGAGAAACCGAACCTTTAGAACCAGTCCACCGGTCAATCAGCTGCGCCACCGTTGCTGCTTCTTTCGGCTCGGTGATCCGCCGGTATAACCCACGGAGGCATTGGTCCCGTAACTTTGTTGGTGCGCATTCTCAGGGTTTTATCATACTCATAGGAATCTAGAGAATCTCTGTTTAATTCAACTGGATGCAGTGAATAAAACAGTAGTAAGAGTCAGGTTATTAACTTGCAGTACCTTTTTGCCTTAAATAAGCGCACAAGCGTAAATGGTAGCCGGAATAATGCGCTTACCACCCCAAATGTTAGAAAATGCTTTAAATAATAAATAAATACTTTAGCTTTCGAATAAAAACTTTCGGTGGATTGAAAAACGACGAGAGTATTGTGGAAAAATTCGGACGATGGCGTGGAGCAAACCTAAGCCATTCGCCTGCAAGTGAGAGTACTACCTCTATGCCACATGGGCAGATCGGTTCGTACAAATGGGCGCTTGGTATTAAAGCAGTTTCGACTGCGCATTTCATTTAAACTATCGTCTAGCAAGCTTGAGCGCTCACAACTTTCTTGGTAAACCATTTTTCACTTTAAAATTTCACACTAATGAACAGCTTGCCTAAGTCTATCATCTCTCCATTGGGTCTCCAGCACTATTTTGTGGAAATTGAACTACACTGTCCTGGTGAGCATATCTGGCTGAATTCATTGCTCATAGTCATCAGAAAACCTTCCAGATCTGCTCGGTCCGTACCAATGAGAATGAAATTTCATTTGCGTTATCTATGGATTATTCTCGCACTATCGGAGGTTCCATTGCTGTTGTTTATTGTTCTTGTTTACACTTCCTTCTAGTGTATCATCTACAGGCACCTCGCTTTTATCCTCTTCCTTGTAACTCGAATGTTTCTATGATCTTGCCCACACAATTGCGAAAGCTGTTATCGCACCACTTGGACAGGGCTGTGACCTAATCCGCCTCATTGGCTTCAGGCTTGATCAGGTTTGTTTGAGCTGTTTCTCGCTGAGGTTCATATGACAGTCCCATCCGAGCTTCAGTGAAGTGGAGTGGCTTTTAATCAATTGTGGGTCAGTACTCGCTACTTCGAACGTGGCCTCACTTATAGTGACTCACTTTTTCTTTCATGATCCTGGAGTGTCTTTGAGATGGCGACGGAATATGGCCGTCTATGCTCCGCATGTCCAACTGTTCAGCCTGTTCCACGATGTATGCACCAGAGATTCTATACGCTTCGATGTTTTCGCCCAAGGATTTGTGTTCCTGAGAAATTTTATGTTCTTCTTATTCATTCAAAGCCAGTTCCCTGTCATAATGCTCTCTTGTCGTATCTTTGCAAATATGATCTGAATGCTTGACTCCGGCCGCCTGATTGCACCAGCCCTTTATTTCCTTTCCCATTACACCAGAGGAACATCGGTTTCTTTGATCCCTGGCCTGAAGTCTGCGCAGCAAATGCACGACAGCTTCAGAATGGCATTCGGACCACGCCTTTCTCCCACGTGAGGTTAACTTCTTCTTCCTCACGATTACTTCCGAGGTCAATTTGTTCATTGCCATTGCTAGCTTAAGATACTCGGAGACAGATGTACAGAGCTCCATGCCGTCAATGTCAATCCGGCCTTGCTTATTTGACTCCATGGTCTCATAATCGGTCTTTTTGCGTTTAGCCGAAATTGGAACACTACCAGGCGGTCAAACCAGGCCCGCAGATGTGGTTCGAGTGCATTCTTCTCTTCAGACGTAAACATTGCGTCAGCATTGAGTAGCGTCCACGGAGGTGTCTTCTGAAACCTATTTAAGTGACCACGCTCACAAGTTACTGTAATGGGATAGCCATTGTTGCAGGGCTCTCAATGAGGGCAACAGTTACAACTGTCTGGTTATGGGTTACGTAGCGCTGATGGCGAGCGATGATCCGTAACACCTCATTTTCGTAAATACAAAGGTCGTATTCAACACTATAACACAAAATGTAGGGTTTCACAAAGTGTAGGGCATTTCGGTTTTTGCCGCTGTAGAAGCTGGTGAGGTGATGGTCTCACGATCATCATCTCATCATCTTCTACACTGACAAGACCCGAAATGGGCTTCGTTCTCGATAGTTCTCATTATGAAGGGCTCGTGGCAAGGGTGAAGACCGTGCCATATAAGACATTCTAAAGGCAACATCGACTGCTTTTTGCAGATCTACGACCACTCCACTAAAGGGTGACAAGTCGATCGAAGTGAGTCTGCGAGAAGCAAGTTGTCACGATGAGGGCCAAAAGGCGGCTGTAATTACTCGAATGCCCAGCTACGATCGGTCACGACAGTGGAGAGGATTCAATCTCACTGGAAAAGTCACTCGTTTTGTGATATCAGCAAGAAGCTCGAAATGCTCCATAGTGAACATAGTGATCGCCATGCTGAAGCTCACCATCGCTGAAAACATGGAGAATTATCATCATTGTGGAGAATGGCTACCTAATAATGGCTGTAAGAAAGCAGAGAAGAGATGGAGAGGACTACCTTTAGCGTGTTGCCAGTTCACTCCGCAGGGAATAGCTGTTAAGAAAACGAAAATGATTCTGAAAAGTGACGTCTTGTAAAGTAGCTGATTTATCAGCTGACTTGGGGAGGTCGCAGTGCTGCAAACCAGTTGCAAAATTGACGAATCTCTAAGCTGTCGCAGGTAAGAAGGTGCCTAAAAGATGGCAGCATACTACAACAGTTCTAATCTGAAAAGGAAAGGGCAGCACTGCGGACTGCACAGGCTACCGCACAATTCACTATTCTCATTCTATTCTACATACAGAAAGACTTGCGGTGACCAGCCGACGTACAATTCAGTGCTTTTATCCTCCCACATGAGTCTGGTACCTAATGGCGCCCTGGCATTATGGGAGGCTTGGTTGGCCCAGGCGGATGTTGATCATAGAACCGAACCCATGACCATGCGTGTGTGATTACCACTTGCCATACACCACCTGCGCCCATCATAAATATTTACATAGTAATATAGTCGAACGGTACTGACTTCTCTACGCTTTGCCTAATTATTCTCTGTTGCTGCTCCATGTGCTGTTACATCTCCTTCAGTTGTCTGCGCTCAGCAAGCAAATTTTTTCAAGAGTGGGTTTAGCGATGTTGTAAGATCAGTATAAGATTCGCGAATTATCGTTTTCCGTCTTAGGGTAGCTATTCTGCCTTCCATCCAAGTACAGAGGAGCCCGTAACTGTCTTCCTCAAGGCATCTGTACGATTCAGTCAAAATGATTCTCAAACTATAAGTTGTTACAACATTATCATCCGCAGGTAACTGATTCAACTCTTTGACCTGCCGCTCAGGAGTGATTCTCTTTTTGCAGTTGCCTTGACATCATTGGTCTGAAACGGCTAGGTCGGAATCATTTCAACGAAAAGGAAAAGAGCAGGCTCCGTGATTACAATATGGAAGTGTGGCCAGGATTCGAGACGGCAGTGCGACAATACGAAGATCAGCTGATGCTTTGTATAGAAAATCGTTTCAAGATGATCCGAACTGAGTCAGTCTGGGACGTGGTGAGTTCTAGTGTAAGTGAAGTCAGGTCATGTCGTGATATTTTCAGCTTTCACGCTGGCATGGGTGGTGGGCTTTATGAATGCCTTTGCTAGAGCGTAACAAAATAATTTCGTTATTGCTCCGTTTTTATAATGATGATTTCTTCCCAAAAAATTTCAACCATTTTCTGGATCCATTTATGTATTGTCGCGTACATGTTCTACGCTTCTATGCTTCATTACTGCCTACCAGTTGGATCTGTAATCATTTTCCCCATCACACATTGTCATTTTATAAGCCATTTTCTATGGTATAGCAGGTATGGTATATTTTACCAGTCGGATCGCCCGGCTAGCGCCAGGCTCTCCTCCTTCTTGTGTCAGACACCCTATCCTCAAAAATGTTCAACTGAAGAATTTTTTCTCCTTTTTCAAAGTTTATAGTTTTTAAGTTTTTTCCGCTGTTTAGCAGAGTGAGATTATGAAACTGAAACAGAGCTCGAAATAGATTATGTCGTCGTAGCATATTACATAGTCAGTTCGCCCGGCTAACGCTGAGCTTCCCTCCTTTGGCAAAGTTGTAGTAAGTCGGATAACTCTCCACTCTTTTTTTTGAAACAAATAATAGTTTCCTGTACCCGAAATTCGACACAGGACTAGCAGAGCAGCGCAAATGGCACTCAGTGAAAGTCGGTGCTTACGCCTTTAATGGAATTCTCGATCTCTTGCTCCCTTTATTAAAAAGAAATACCCATCGAAAAACCAACTGTTAGGCAACCAAAGATGATGCTGTGGAGATGTTCTGAGCGATGGTAGCACCATTATCAGATGTTCTTTATCAATGGATCCTTTCCTTCACGGAGATATCATTAGTTGAGAGTTCTAGATTACAGGCGGTCGAGTAAGTTTTGTCGCAAATGATATCGAGCAAAGAGGATCCTTCATTGAATCACAAACCTTGCTGGGTAGCGGTCGCTAATCTGATAGTAAGAAATGACCAAAATTCTAATCTGCTCAGCGTAGTGCTGCTAATGGGTCCCTATCACTGCACTTACCACTCACTTTTGTCACCCTACTCTACCATCCCGTCTTATCGAATGAAAGATACTGAACGGTCAAAGATATATCTTAGATATCGAAGACGTTAGGATTTTGATCGGCAGGTGGTCTCTCTTAGATCCCTTACCTTCTCTTATCAGTTATGGTCGGTTGTTGTCACCAATAAGCTACGATACTGTCATATACTGTATCACATATTAAAATGCTAAAGTTCCACTGTTAGCACAAAAAGTGTAATCCTACTAAACTTCAACGCTCTAGGTCCACCTAAACGGGAGTTATGAAATTGCGGCCGAAAATTTCTGTTGCGCACGCCCCGTTCCCTTTGCATTGAGTCCAGTCCTGCCACTCATCATAAGTGTTTCCATCCTGTCCCCCGTACTCCTACCAAGTTTGAACGCTCTCGGTCCACGGGGACAGGAGTTATGAATTTCCGGTCAGACGCACACACCGACACACACACAAACAAACAAACACACACAAACACACCGACACACCAACAGACACACTTAGCGAATTATATATAGTAGGATGGTTTTCATGGTATAAGGATGGCAGCATTATGGTCCAGTCATCCTAATTATAAGCAAGAAGGCGTTCCCTCATTCGTGACATGTTGGCAGTAGATAAACCCGATAAGTTTCGCTGATAGTCAGTTAGCTTAGCAAATCGGTGTTTGAATGTAGTATAAACAAGTATGTACCAAGAGTAATCCACAAGGTGGCGAAAGTACAAGACGCTCGTGCGTGAAATAGGCTTCTAGTGTAGTCTTTTACTATAGTGAGAACAGATATAAGATTGTAGTTAGTAATCTTCCTTACTCCATAGAGTATTTGATATGGTGTTATAATCCATTAAATATGAGCAGTGCATTCTTTGGTCCTTGCAACACTTCATGCCAGCTTTTAATCAGTATGGCAAGCACTTATTACATCAGCGCCTTGTCACGCTTCCCCTCTCCATCGCGAAATTGGCTTGAAAGCAAGCCAGGTCTACGGCAATGTGGTATAGTACATTTAGAAGCGAAAATGTGATTTCGTTCCTGACGTCTGCTGCATCTTTTGCTTGATTGAAAGATTATTTCTCAGCTTGTATGGAGCAGTCGCCTCGGCACAGGCGGAGGACTCGTGCAACAACTTGTATGCCGCCAACGTGGTGCTGGCCTTCACACGAGGCTTCAATCATGGCACTATTGCGTGAGATCTGAAGAAGGTTGGCAAGATCCCAGGAAACTGTCGTCGCCTCTTTTGAGGAGAACGGTCACATTCTCGCCTCTTGTCTTTCTTCAGCGTTTTTATTCTCTTTATATTTATACGCTCGCTAAGAACGGAGAGGTGGCTAAAATGCTGAATTTCTTGGAAGGCAGCAAGAAGGTTCACATGCATGAGGAATATAAGCCGTTATCTAGTTCTGAGATGGAGTACAGGTGAGGTTATTTGAGATCAGAGCCGTGTTCATGAACATTAAGGGTCTAGGCTCACAATGGTGACAAACGCCAAAACTGCTTGCGACATTGCTAGGCTATTCATAGGTCTCTTCACTTGGCGAGAGAGGTGCCGAATGCACAAAAGCAGTGACAATTTCGGCTTGGACCGCGCTCTCTAAAGTTACTATCCTTTAGCTGCATCAGCGTCTCCTCTAGGAGTTTTAGGGCAGATGCATTAGCCACCCAAGCGTTGATGTCTTTGATTGTCACCTGCTTCTAATCTACTCGTCTATTAATTTCAGAAATATTTATATAACCAGTCGGATCGCCCAACTAACGCCGGGCTCTCTTTCTTGTGTCAAACACCCTATGCCGAGAACTGTTGAATTGAGGGAATTTTTTTTCCTTTTTCGAAGTTTATATCCGCTGTTTAGCCAAGTGAAAGTATGAAACTGAAGCTGAGCTCGAATAGATTATGTCGTCGTAGCATATCATCGAACCGCTATTATCGAACCGCCCGGATAACGCCGGGATTTCCTCCTTCTCTAAGTTCTAGTGATCGGCAACCCGACGCCCATTTTGAGGACAAATGATGCTCTTCTGAACACGAAATTCGGCCCAGTATATACAACTTTGACACAGGATCCAAAAACAGGGAAGCTGGCATAAGCAGATGAAGGGTCCCGGCACTATTCCCTGATACCGGTCGCCGGTACAATGTGGCCCTTTTTCGGCGAGTTGCAAACATTGGCACCATCATTAGCACCAGTCGGGCCGCCCGGCTAACGCCAGGCTTCCCTCCTTCTTGTGGGTTCGCCCGGCTACGCCGGGCGCTCCTTCTTCCTCTGAGAAACTTGCTATGCGTGAATAACACTTCGGATTCTCCTTTTGCTTTGAAAGCTCTACACCCTCAGTATTAGCTACGAATTAGGAGCGATTTTTTCTGTAAGCCAACCTCGCTGTGTCCGAAAGAACATCGTTTAACATCAAAAAGGCGATTATTAAGAGAAAAAAGTGTTCAGAGACTTCATCGCGGCTGAGGCTACTATGTTAGCTACCATCAATGTTCCTCAATACCATCATCGAAGGCTCTCCTCCCTTTTGGGGCAAAGGGACTTTGATCGAAAAATATCTAGTTAAGGAAATTCCCCCTTTTTAATATGTTATTTCGCTGAGCGAGAGTATAGACTATCAAATGCCTTTGAAGTTGTACCTCCTTTTCTCTGCGGATACATCATTAAATGTGAACCCAACATTATTACCGGTCGGATAAATTTTGCTAGGAATGATTTCAAAGCAAAGAAAAACTGTGATCTGTTACTTAATCGCAAATTCTGCTGTTTAGCGGTCGTAATCTAATAGCAAGAAATGAACCAAATTCTTCTCCTTATAATCA